TATATATGAATTATTATTTGTCAGCTAGACATGACTGATAAATAGGAATCTCAATACTTACCAATCGATAGCCATAGTGTGAAAACTATCCAAGTGGCACCATCAAGAGAAAACATTAAATAGATAAATCCAAATACGCATATTAGCGGTATCCATGGAAACAAAATCATCGATGATGGCCCATCCATTCTTAGTTGCGGTTGCTTCGCAATTGTGATACATGCAATTAAGGATAATAAACATGTCACAAGGAATATTGCAAATGTTACTGTTTTGAGTTGTTGGAGTTGTTCCGAATACTGATGAAGTATTACTCCAATACAACATTGGCATACCATATCACAGATCAAACAAATATTAACTAGTGTTAATGTAAATGACGTAGGTTCTTTAGCCCTGCCCCTTTTCCGTTTGCTTCCAAATTGGGTTAAGGAAGCTACACGGAGCTTCTCTTTGTAATCAGCTACAATTTGATCTATATCATCTGTTTCTCTGTCCGATTCACTCGATTCATCACTTTTCTCGGTGTCTGCGTAGAGTACGTTGCGTTTACACTTTCCCAGAGATTCTATTTTCGCAAAGCGTATATTGCTGTTTTCTATGGTAGTAGTATCCATACCCGTCACGTGACACTCGACAGCAGGTTCTCCGTTACCTTCGTCATGTTCTGTGTCACTGTATTCATCCTGCCAAGTGTCTTCGTCGTCTGTTTGGACTGGTCTGTAACGCATCAAGATATCACTAATACAGACCAACATATAAGTGAATAATGTTCCTATGGCACTGAGTTGCAACAACCTAAACTGCGATAGTATTGTTGCTAAGATACCGGTGACTAAACCCACGCCTAATGCACTAGATAGAGGTGTGTCTGTACGCCGATATAACGCGCCAAATACACACGGTATTATTCCCTCTATTGACATCAAGTAAACTGAATGAACCGCAATAAATAAATTAGTTGCCATGACAACGCCAAGTGCTGGTAAAGATAATAAATTAACAAAAATCTCCAACCATCGCTGTCCGTCAAATCCAAAACTGCCAAAAGAGCAATTATTGTTCATCTTGTCCGAGGAAACTATAAAAAGCATAGATATTGCAGCTAAATTAAATGCTACAAAATTAAATAGAGAGCTTGCTATAAATGATGTGACTTGTTTCTGAATCATGCGCTTGTATGGCGTACGTATGATAGTTGTTATAGC